CTTTAGTTTAAAGAAATAAAAAACGTTTAAGGGCAAAGTTCAGGGTTTTCCCCAAATGATTTAACAAAGAAAATTAAAACAAAAAATAGTCCTTGATTAGGCTTTTTATTTTTTTGTATTAATTTCTCCACGATTATATTAAGTAAGAAGACTCTTTCAATACTTATTTCTTCATTTATAAAATTTAAATTTAATATTTTATTTAAAAAAATTAAATTATTTTTATTTAGACCAACAAGTTCTTAGTGTCAAACATTTTACAATTTCAAGTCTTCACATTGAAAATTTTAAAATTAAATTTTAAAATTTTATTTTTTATTACCTAATTCATCTCATAATATAAATAAAAATAAAGACCAAAATGAGAACAAGTAAAAGCAACAGGGTAAGGTGGGGGCAGGTACTAGGGGTGGATTTCAATCATAATCAATTATGGGGTGGGCATTTGTCATCGACATCCACTTTCCATTGTGTCCTTGTTACGAAAGAATATTTTGAATATGTTAAATGTTTTGTTGATGATAATTTATCATCAGATGTTATTTTCAAGTTGATGTAAACCATACCTCACCTTATCCATCCATCCTCCCATTTGCCCCCTCCAATCACATATAAGACTCAACAGTCCTCAAACATAAATAATATTATCTTACGTAAAAAAATATCTAATAAAGAATAGGGGAAATTTTAGTGGGTTAGTCATGGTACTCTTTCAAAGGGAACCTTTTCAATAATTTTAAAAGGCAATATTAAAATTTTGGAATTTATCCTAAAACTAAGAAGGTATGTAGCGGACTATAATATCAGCACTACCAAAAGGGGAGGGTCCTGTTATTGGGGCCTCCTCTTCTTTTTTTTTAAGGTAAAACTTCACAAATTACCTTTTAACTTTTTTAAATATATGAAATTTTACCCCTTATTTTACAATGTGTAATTTTATGCTCTCTTGGCACTTGAATTTATGATAATGAGGCAATTTTTAACATTGTAAAGTCATGTGCAGCCCTTGAAAGTTGTAAGGTTAGGACTAATATTTCACACACTTGAATACCATAAGAGTATAAAATCATAAATTTAAATATTAAGCAGGTATAAAATCACATATTATAAGGTGAATGATAAAGTTTCACACACGTAAAAAGTTGAAAAGCAATATGTGGGCTTTTGCCCTTTTTTTTTTTTTATGATCTTGATATTACAATCGTGATGTTATAAGACAAATTGTAACATAGTTTTCTAAATTAAAAAATGTGTATTTATTTTTATTTCTAAATGACATCATTTATAATAATATTATAATTA